CACACACACACACACACACACACACACACACACACACACACACACACACACACAGCCACTTCCTCTGTAATTGGTCTGTTTATCCCTACTCTACTATTTCATGACTGTAGTCTCGACTGGCGTCTCACACAGCACACGCGCACACAGTGATTAATGGTGTGTGTTCAGGCAGACTGGTGGGTCGAGCTCTGCCTTGTCGACAGTTCTTAAGCGATCATTACAAGACCAGCTCTGCTCTGCAACCACTTTAGTGTCAAAGATGTGATATTGTTTGCTTTTTATGTGTATAAATGTATAAACTGGATTATGTGGAAAAGTCTGATACTAAATTACAAGTGGAATAAGGAGAGCCTGCAGTGATGTTTGAGCCCATGCTGTTGTACAGTATGAAAAATGACACAATATTGAGTTTTATTCAGTTAACGTTCAGTGACAGTTGCCTCGGGGTGCTTTATACCATTATGTAAAGACTGAAAAGTCATTAACCTGTGTGCTGCACTTGGTAACTGTGGAAAGAAAAACTCCCTTTAAACAGGAAGAGACTTGGATCAGAACCAGGCCTCAGGGAGCGGTGCCAGTTTACCGTGACTGGTTAGGAAGCGAAGAGAAAGAGAAAAGGATGGAAGAGGCCAAAAATGTGTAATGAGCTGTGCCGCCTGAGTACGTAATGTCTAATTAGGTTTAAGTTTTTCCTAAGAGCTTAAAGTCGTTAACCTCGTTTCTTTGTCTGATGAATAAACATGGGTATCAGTTAAGTTTAATTAATTTACTTGTGTTTAGTACAGCGGCGTGTCACACACAACCTAATTGTGGGCCTGATAATAACCTGTACAGGGCTTGAATTCCTCTGGACCCAAATCAAAGCATCTTCCAGGATTAATTCCTGTGGAGATATCTGCACGGAATTACAGTAATCTAATAATGTTTGGGCCACTGTTGCATTAGTGTGGAACAGCTGCAGCCTCTCTCCGCAGCGCTACAGGAAGTTTTGCTAGCATACACAGACTGGCTACAAAGGTGTGAACTTGAAGCCGTGCAGACAATGACCGCCGGCTAAAATTTTTTAAATCCACTTCAACTGATGAGGAGAACGCTGAACACCAAACACGGCGGCATTCGCAGTGAAGTTAATGTTAACAGCGTTAGTCCTTAGGATCCAGATGTGTAACAATAACATTATTAGGGTGGAGCAGCAGTTCAGAGAGATTCAGACTAACCAGCTAATTTATAATGAACAGAGCATGCCTTTTTTAATACGCATGCATAGATGTGACAAAGAACAGGGACAGGAGACATAAATTACAGCAGTATTGTATTTACTGGAGAATGACAGACGGTGAGGTAAGAATAGGACAACAGAAAACTTCACAAGTAAAGTTTTTGGAAGTAAACAGCAGCAGTATTTCATGATTGTGATCAAACAATGTCTTTTTCCCATAAAATATTTCAAATCTAATTGATTCATTCATTTTCATTTACACACATACATTTTTGTTTATTTGTAACTTGGAAAGAAGAAATTGGTGACTTCACAACTGACTTGGGTTGTATTAGAAAGATTAGAATTGGAAGCTTTTATTGATATTATATAATGTACAATGAAATTGGAGCGCAGCAACAACTTAAGACACAATGAAGAATAAACATTTGGTCATTTATGCAGTAAATACATAAAGTGCTAGTACTCAAAGTACTAGGTATAAAAATTGCTACATATACTAAAGTATATAAAAAGTACTAATGTTTAATAAGGTTAGGTAGTCGGGTAACAAATGGTGAGCGTATCCCAAATATTACACAGTGATTTACCAATAATCTAATAATCGAATAACTCTGGTGTAACTCGGGTGTACTTGGTACATTTAGAGAAGAGATGTTGAGGTTTGGAAAGAAGCCCTTCCTGGGTCTGTGTCCTTGATTTGCCAGAGAGCAACAAGTTAAACAGATGAAGGCCAGGATGTGAGGGTCCTTCAAATATGTCTGCTGAAGAAGGAGGAGGGAGGTTTACAGGTTCTGTATGGAGGACCGAGCTCAGCCAGCGATCTCCTGAGCTGTGGCTCTGTTTCTATCTCCTCAGCAGTCTCAGGAAGTGAGGTCGTCTCTGTACCTTTTTAATAACCATTGGCAGCTCAGGTGTTCAGAAAGTACCCAGGAATTTGGAACCTTCTCCACACACTGATCACTGATGTAGGGCCACGTCTCGTCAATGAAGCCGAAGAGGGTTTTTTATTTTTGTTTGTTTCGGGTGTTCTTTGTCAGGTTGTACCTCAGATCTGAACTGTTTCTCTTTATAAACTTCAAGCAGAAAGTTGAATCTGTTTTCTAATAGAATTCAGCCTGATTGAGTGGGTATGCAGCTGTAATTTTAGTGTACGAGTTGTCCTCTTGACTTGTGGTTGTTGTTTTGTTTGTTTCTGGGTGTTGCTGCAGTTTGAAGCGCCAGTCAGCGACATGCAGGACAACAACACCAAACAAAAATAGACAATACGATGCAAGCATATTTTTTTATGAGTGTGACATGAGCTTTTGGAGTATCCTTTGTCAGAATATTTTTTTCATCATGTGGGAAACATCGGTAGCTCTCTCTTTCTTTGTTTCTCCATCTTTCCCCACCCAGTTACCCAGCCCTGCTCAAATGAGCCCGTGTGTGTGTGTGTGTG